AAATTCTATCCGGTTTTGAGAAGGGAAACAGTGTAGCCCTTGATGAAGTTACTACCACTGATGTGACTGTTACCGATAATAGGACATTTCCTGATGGAGCAGATGAACCCCACGTGAAGCAGAAGCCAAAGACAGTGGAAATTAAGTGTATTTCAAAGTTGTATTGAGAAAGAATAAACTAGTTTTATTTAAGAAAGGACTTGTATCGTTGAAGTTCTTCGGGAATATTTTTTACGGGAAATTAACAAACGACCAGAGAACCAGAGACGTAACAATATAATACGACAATAAAAATTTGGAACTTGTGTTGTATGCAGTATAGTTTATAGAGTTTAGTGAGGGAACTTGGCCTGCCGATATAAGTAATAAAGAAATCAGGATGATCTCTTAAAAACATTTAGTTAACTTGATATTTATATCATTAGATAAATGCAAAGAGAAAAAAAGAGTAACTATATTTCATTCGACCTAGATGTTAACAATGAATGAACGAAAGTATTGTGTTTATTTTATTACAATATGCTACGAAAAATATACTAGAGAGACTCAGATACCCGACAGGGTATGCTGTATAGAACATCTTCGTGCTCAGGTGATATTTTCAGGTTAAACTGATTTTTTCAAAGAGTATTATATAGATTCACTTTATAATGGGAGGATCAACAGGATAAATTATGAAGTAATGCTGAGTTTAATAAAACAAAGTAAACAGACTAGACACGATATATAATACGAAACGAAACCAATCTTTATTCAAAACAAGTGTGTGTATACTTCTTTTCTGGATGCTTTATGGCCACTTTTCGCTTGGTTCGTGAATTGATTAACTGACATTCTTCCATTAATGTCTTCCCGTCAATCAACTTATTTAAGAACCTTTGCAAGAATGTTTACTCTACCACCATCTGTTCCAAAAAGTTTAAATCTAGTGTTTCCTACTTAATAGAAAACATGAAGAGTTACATCCATGATTCCAATGGGTGGAACAGATATTATTAGTAACAAAGTCAGAGCGAAGTCAAATTTTTTAATTTTCTGTATACGAGTATACCATACGTTTCTATATTCTTTCAATGTTATAGTACTAGCTGGAGTACCCGTCTCCTGGACGGAAGTTGTGAAAATTCATGATTAATAAAAGGTTATCTTAGGAGACGAAAATGTGCTTCCTTTATATGTTATTGCAAAAAACTCCCATAAAAGCTGCAAAACACAAAGTGTGAAACCGCAAATTTGCCTGTATCTCTGCATAGACCCAACAAACCTTCATGCCAAATTTGGTGAAGATCCATCAACAGGGGGCGAAGTAGTAGTAAAAAACGCATATAAAAACCATCAATGCAAAACTTTAAATTTGTATGTATATTCCTATGAACACAATGAACCTCCATATCAAATTTGATGAAGATCCGTCTACAGGAGATGAGGTAGTTGTAAGATCCGCAAAAATGCCCATAAAAACTGCAAAACTGAGAATTTGTATGTACTCTCTCGTGGACCTAATGAACCTCCATACCAATTTTGATGAAGATCTATCCACAACCCGCAAAGTAGTTACATGGACATAGAACAGACAGTACTATTATATTTATATAGATTTATTTTGAATTTATAATATATTTTATATATGTGCGGGTTGTACATAACACACGGTCAGAAAAGCCGTTCGGTTGATTTCATTCTAGTTACCTTTGTTATTCTAGAGTAGATAGTACCTGTTCTCCCATGGATGGAGTTACTTCAGTGATGTCGACAGCAGATCTTTCAATAATAGTTCAGGTGATGTCTAGAGGTTACGGCCTCACCTATGTATGAAAGAGAGTGACTAATAACGTGAGTAACGCTATTCGTTCTACTTAAATATAACATTTCTCGCAAAGTAAACAATGCTGGATTTAGTGAGTTCGGTAAACAGAAGATCCAGTAAAAGTATCATCCCATATCAATAAAGCAAGTTTGTGTTTTATGTGTGATATAATAAAGACTGTTCATTTCGTGTTTCACTTTCTGTCCAGTCTCTTTATTTAATCCATTATCATGACTTATTTACTCAGAGATATGGAAGTAATTCTTAATTGGCATTTTTATTAAGCGGACTTACCATTTGCGATTAAGTTAATCCATTTTACACACCTGCATACCACACTACAACGATAGGCGATTACAATATATGTGCTGTAGAAGCATATAACCTAATGTGGCTTTGCTCAAAAAACACACAAACAAATATACACACAAAATTTTCATCGAAAAATTTAAGTTACAGTACATTTAAAAGACTCTTACGAAAACATTGTAGGACTTTTAAATTATATAAGCTGTTAGCAAACAGCACTTGTTTTTATCGACAAGGGGTTAACCTTTAAAAAGCCAATGAAACGTCGAGGTAAATAAATTGTTTCTATTGGTAACTGTTTGATTTTCTTTCTGTTACTGAAACATACTCTTTGAGACTGACTGAGTAATATTTGTCTGTTAAAAATGGCAGCTTAGAGGGCGCCACGTCAGAAACACTAATGTTTATTATGTTGATTTGGTAGTTCTTGTGTAGAACATAGATATTTAGGTCTAAAAAGATCAGGTAAGAGGATTTTTAGAAATGTTAAAATGTTTTGTTTTTAATATTGTTGTGGCTATTTTGTAATGAATAGAAATAACTTCAGTTTTATTTAGTTTAAGCAGGTTATCAATTTTTCATTAATGTCTCAAGTACTACTACTTGTAAGTTAACTAAGTTGTATTATTTACATTTTAACGTAAGTTAGAAATACTGCTACTTCAAGTACTTGTAAGTTGTATTATTTAAGTTAGAAATTTCATTCTGCCATTCGCGTTAATTTGAAATTTTTATATTAAATGTTATACTTGTGACTTAGTCCTGAACCGAGTTTACGGCCCATTACGGCATTAACGTTTCTAATTCACTGACTTGACTAGTATTAGTAATAATGTGTTATACAGTAATGTATTACTGGAAATTGAAATGGGTTATTATCTTGAAGTTTGAAGAGTTGTCACGTCATGTACAATCACGGACATAACTCATTGAGTAGTTTATTCTTAAGATTATAGTTGACTTGCGTTAGTCCTGTTGAGGTTCAGGATATCAAAGATACTATACGCTATAGCAAGGAGATTGAATCTGTTTGGATTTCTGTTTATAAACCTAGGGTAAAAGGCATTTACTGATTTAGATGAAAGTTTTTACAGACCACTAGATGAAATGGATAAAATTAAAGAAAAACTTTACCTTGAGATTAAGATTTCAACTGTTAATGAGGTCGTAATTATGGAGGATTTTATTTGCAAGCATATAGATTGGGAAATTTTAGAGTCAAACCATAAGGAAGACAGGTTTCTAGAAACATTCAAAATGCTTTTCTTCACCAATCTACCAGGGAGGTAACTTGGGAAAATGCTGTTTTTGATTTGTTGGGGAAATATTTTTAAATTTTCATTACAGACATGTTCCTTGTAAAAAATATAATGGTGGCTGTAGGTAAATGACCAGTTTTGTTCACAAATTGTGTAAGGGATAAAATTATAGAAAAGTATTATCAGTTTAAGAGTTAAAATTGACTGCTGTGACAGGAGACTTAGTGGATTATATAAGATCAAGAGAGTTGGTCAAAGAAGACATTAGGAAATCAAAAAGTGTATATGAAACAAGTTTGACTAAAAATGTAATCGTTAAGAGTAAGGACTTTAAATACATTAAGGGTAAACAAAATGTTAAGATGAGAGTAGGGCCTTTGTGGGATGATGAAGGAAGGCTAGTTTCTGATGATTATGTGATGGCTCAGTCACTAAATTATACTTATCCTTCAATTTTTACTCATGAAGATTTAAGCAGTATTCCTCATCCTGAACAGTTTTTAGATGGAAGTAAGATCTGACAAGACAATCACATTAATTCTGAGCTTGTTAAGGAAAAAAAATAGAAAACTTGTATAATGATAAAGCTTCTGGGCCAAATAATATTTACCCAAGGATTTTAAAAGATGTTAAGGACTGTATATGTGAATCACTTACTAGTATTTTTTGTTCTTGAAAAATGGGCAGGTGCCAGAAGATTGGAAATTGGCAAATGTTACTGCTTTTTTTTTCAAAGAAAGTGTTAAAAATTATTCCAGTAATTATAGGCCTGTTAGTCTTACATAAGTGATAGGAAATTTTTTTAAAAATCTGATACAAGATGCTGTGCAAAGTTACTTAACAAAGTTTAAATTTTTGTTGGATAGTCAGCATGACTTCACTAGGAGAAAATCTTGTCTTACTGACCTTTTGACATTCTTTCAAGAGGTTACTGCTTATGTAGATGAGAGTACCAGTGTGGATATGATGTATCTAGATTTTCAGAAAGTATTTGACAAGGTGCTTCACAGAAGGTTTGTTAAAAAGTAATCTCACTAGATAGAAAATGTCTAGGTGGAAGAAAGCGAAAGGTTGTTATAGATGGAGTTCAGTCAAACTGGATTAATGCCATGAGTTAGATACCTCAGGGCTCATTGTTAGGACTTTTGGTCTTCTTGATTTACATTAATGACATAGATGAAGGAATGGTTAGTAGATTATTTAAATTTACTGATGATATTAAGGTTTTGGGTGTTGATGGCTATGAGGATGCTGCTGCTTAACAAAAGAATTTGGATTATTTGGTAAGCTGGTTGAGTAAATAAAAGGTGACTTTTAATTGTAATAAATGCAAAGATAATGCATTAGAGGTATTGCAATTTGAATTATGAGGACCATTTTGGTGAGAATAATTTTAACAATGTTATGGAAGACAAATATTTTGGTGCTTCCCCAGGGGGTCAGTAGTAAGTTTATGGACTTACAATGCTAAAATCTGGGGTTCACTTCCTTATGGTAGACACAGCAGATGTAAACATTTCTAGATGGAAGAAAATGTTGGTTAATTGACAGTGATTAAATTTGATTATAATTCAATCAGATTTTCCAGTCTGCAATGTGGCTTTGTGCTAAAACAAACAACAACAAAAAATATCTTGGTGTTCTAGTTGATCAGTCTCTTAAGTTATCCAAGCCATGTACTGTTGTTAGTGGCAGGGCAAATAGAATTTTAGGTTGTATCTACAGAAATATTAAATACAAATCTAGATAGGATATAATTTCATTTGATAGGTCGTTGGTTAGGCCACATATGGAGAACTTTGTTCAGTTTTAGGCTCCTTGCCCGAGAAGGATATTAAATTGTTGGAAAGGGTTCAAAGGAGGGTTACTGGGATGATATATAGAATGGAAAGGTTGTCACAGAAGTATGTTAAAGTCTTTGAACTTGCTTTCTCTTGAAAGAAAAGAAAGTTAGAGGGATCTGATTGAAATGTTTAAAATTGTTATGGGAATTGATAGCATTGATGCATTATCTGTTTTTCGTATTTAATGATGAGAATGGTATGACTAGGGGACACAAATATACATTTTGGCAGGGTAAGAGCCCTGTTCTAATAAAACACATTTTTTCTTTTGACAGGATGGTTAGCATTTGGAATAAGTTACCTTCAGGCATGGTTGATGCAATTAATTTAAATAGTTTAACAGAAAGTTTGATAAATATTTAATTGATAAGGGCAATTTGTTTTTAGTGTTTAGTTTGATTTAGTGGATAGGACAATTTAGCTGGACCAAAATGTCCCTTGTTCTTTAATATTATGGATAGAAAAATGGCTGGATGGAAGAAAGCAGAGGGTTGTTATAAATGGAGGTCAGTCAAACTTTTTACAAGTGGAATACTTCAGGGATCAGTGTTGGGATCTTTGCTCTTTTTGATTTACATCAATGATATAGGAAAAGGAATGGTCAGTAAATTGCTCAAATTTGCTGGTGGTGTTAAAGTTTTAGTGTTGTTGTATGCTGATGCCTTACAAAAGGATTTAGAGTATTTAGTAAGTTAGGTAAATAAATAGCAGATTGATTTGAATTATATGCAAATTGAATCACATGGATTATCATAATTTATAAGTATAATTTAGATGGGAATAACCATGACAGCATTATGGAAGAAAAGGATCTTGGTATTCTGCTTGATAAGTCTCTTATTCCATCCAAGCAGTGAACATTTGCTTGTGGTAGGGCAAATATGATTTAGGTCATATCTACAGATATATTGAATACAAGTCTAAAGAGGCTATAATTTCACTGTACAATTTAATGGTTAGTTCTCTTGGGCTCCTTACATTAGAAAGGACATTGAATTGTTGAAAAGACTTTTGAGCATGGCTATTAGAATGATACCTGGAGTGAGAAGGTAGTCATACAAAGAGAGGTTAAGATTTCTTAAATTGGTTTATCTTAAAAAAAGAAGAGTTAGAAAGGATCTGATTGAGGTGTTCAAAATTGTTAGGAGAATTGACAGTATTGATGCATCATCTTTTTTCACATTTAATGGTGAAAATCTATGACTATGGGACAGACACAAATTTTGGCATGGTAGGAGATTTATTCAGCTGAGAGAGCTTATTTTTGTGACAGGGTAGTTGGTCTTTGGAATGGTGGATGCAGTAAATGTAAGAGAGTTTAAGGGAAGTCTTTATAAATATCTAAATGATATGGGCTGGCGTTTTTTTTAATCTTGTTTTTATTGTTTATTGGATGGGACAGCTTAGAAGGACCAACTGCTCTCTTTTTGTCCTTGAATTTTATGTTCGTTATATGTTCATAGTTATGCTATTTACACTCCATAAGCATAGGCTAAACAAAATAATGTAGCATTTAACATAAAAAACAAAAGCAGGTACAAAGTATACAATATACTTATTTAGTTGGATCATTTAAAATTTATGTTTTTCATATATGAGTTGTCTTGGAACTGGGATCCATATATACATTATTGTTTTTACTGTTGAAATTTATCAAACTATAAGAAGAGGTAGTGAAGGGAAAATGTTTATTATAAAATTAATACTTATTTTCACCAATAAAATGCTATAAACTACTAATTTAATTGTAATTTCTAAGATAAGTCAATTAGATTTGAAGATTAACTTAGTTACTGGATAAAGTACCAGTTTTTGCAGATGTTTATTTGGCATCTAGGAGGATTGAATTGGATATTATGTGATTGGCTTGTTGTTCTTTGATGGAACTGGTAATGACTTGGCTAATGGTAGTGACTAACTACTGATATCCAAGCCTGGGTCTGTTTAGTGATACTTTCATTGTGTTCGTGTATAAAGATTCTTTGATTTTTCTTGTTTTTCAGAATTTATCTGAGTTGATGTGTCTGTAATTTGTCCAGTCTGTTTTATCTCCAGTCAACATGACATGTTCTGCAATGGTAGAATTCTGTGTTTTTATTCTTGCTCCAAAATGTCTTCCAGTTTATCCAATATATATGTTATTTCATAAGTGATGTTTTCATGTTTGTTGTCAAATGTTTTTGTTTAGTTTTGATAAGGACATATCTGAGTGTTCTATAAGATTTCCAGCAGACATAAGTGTTGAATTGTTTGGTGTGTCAGTGTTCAATTTTGATGGAATTTTTATCACAGATGGTTCCTACCACAGTGTATAAGCCAATAAAATGTACCATTTGGATATATATATGTATATATCGTTATT